GAAATGCCACCTTAAGAGCTTCACCAAGGATTCGTTGCTATACTCATGATTTCCGGGGCCGATACTACCGCGCAATGGAAGCGATGACTTCTTCATTTTGTTCCCGCCTGAATATTCACCTTATTCCCGCCGTCGGTTTATGAAGATCAGGCATTAAGAGGGAGCGCGGAGGTAAACCTTCCGAAACTCTTTTATTCAATTTTAATAAATTTTAATCATTTCGGTATAATATAAGATTTATATTTAATATTCTTAAAAAAAAAAATAATAATAAAATAAAATTGGTCTCCGAGCGTCGACGTGTGGGCGGGTACGTTAAAGTCGATGGGATACATCCCTCCCCCACTCTGAGTTCATTAACTATTTAATTTTAATTCTGTCTCTGTTGTTCCTGTTTTCCTCACCCTTCTATTTCGCGCATCCCAGGTTCTTCCATGTTCTTTCTCCTGTTCTTCATTTTGTTTGCTTAATTATTCTCATCTGCTCCACTGATTAATCGTAATTCCACTTTTTTCATTCTGATTCTCTTTTCCCCATTCGCAACAGCAACTACTGAGAAAATCTCTTCCTTTTTAACTGCATTTGTTTTCTGCAGATCCTCTCGACTGCGGCCTTCATATCTCACCTCTAAGGTATTATCTTCTCACCACTGAAACATGTTCTTAATTAATTCCCTTAAGATTTGAGAGAAGCAACTCGGGTTTTCATTTAAACCACGAATCGTTTTGTCGGTGGGAATCAGTATTTATCTGTAGTAGTTATCCATACAACCAAAATCCTTCAATTATTAGCCATTGCATTGCAATTCGTCGCTTTTGTGTAAGAAATCGAAAACGTTATGCACTTAGTAAATGCTTGAAACGGGCAAGTCTCTTGTGTTCTCAATGTATATTAGTCAGCGGTTGTGCTACTGGAGCCCCTGTTTTTGCTTTTTTGCTGGTGACTCATTCTTCTCACAGCATTTTGATAAAATATTAACACGATTGCTACTCAAGTGCAGGATGAAGAAGGGTTTTTATGGATTGAGGGGTAAAGAGCTATCTCTCGTAACCATTGCCTTGATGTGCGTGGTTATTATTATGTTGACATGGGAGAAAACTCCACTTCTTAATACCTTTCCTGCATCTCAGACTCCGTTGCAGCTATCTCAAGGTCATGGTTTGCTAACATCTCCCTTTTCGTTAGACTTTTTCATGGTGCCACAAAGTCAACTGAGCTGGAATTTCAGATCATTAGAACACACAAAATCTAGCCATTGTACCATATCATATATACCAAGCAAGATGAATTCTTGCATGCTTTTTGAAATTCCAAAGCATTGTTTTTCTTCCAAGACGAGGAATTATTCCGCATGTTTATTTTAAGAAGCCGTGGCAATTTCTCTGTACCTGACAGTTTTTAGAAAACTAGTCTTGTTTTCAGCTTATGTATATCTTAGATAACCAGAGTGATGGGCTGATATATGCACACCTTTGTAGAACAGCATGATCTGTAGATGGAAGATTCATGAGATTTCTAATATCTAAAATAGATGCTGGCCATGATTTGAACCATTCCCTTGTTGACAATTAGCACTTTTGAACTTTAAGTACATATTCATAATTGTGCTTCTTGATCTTCTTTTTTAATGCAGATAGTCTGGCAGGTAGACTAGTTAGTATTTCTCCTTTGGATCGTGAATATGTACCTGCTTCTGAAGATAAAAGTACTGTAAATAACCTAGATGCTCATTGGGCTTCTTCTCACAGCTATTCAAATGATGAGGACACGATATCTTCTCAGAATAAAGGTATATTTTTAACTCAGTGTTGATTAACATTTTGTTTCCAGCATATTCCAGTTTAACTATACTTAGGGGAGGCCTTTCCAGATTAGTTATGATTTTCTTTTTGGCTAATTCAATTGTATCAATTCGCCGTTCTTATGTGTGGCAATTGTACGTTTGATTGACACAATCGGTACCCATATTCTTAGCTGAGCTTTTCAAGCAGACATTTATTCCTTCTGGTGTTGCCATTTCTCACTCATTTCTGTGGTCATTTCTTCACTTCTATTGTAAACTAAAATTTGTTTCTTGCAATTTGGTATGTGTCCTTAGTTTCTTATACATTTGTTCTTTGAACTTGAAACCTTATTTTCTTCATGTATATTTAATCTCTTGATAATATTAATAATGTACTAGTTACATCTGGATGTTGGAATTGTCTTAGTAACTCTTCGATTAAGATTTCTGAATGTCTATTTTCCGTGCAGGAAACCTTGTAGGTTCCAGAGAAGCTACACACCAACAAATACCAGAACTAAGAAATGATGGAAGCTCAGAAAGTCAAAAAGAAATTATAGAAGACGACAAAATAGATGACCAAATTGTGGATGAAGAAGATAAAATTGTTCCTATACAGAAAGAGGTTTTAAAACCGAAACCAGAAAAAGCTGACGGAAATATAAAGCTGGTAGTAAAAGAAAATTATTCAAGACAAGGAGAAGAAAGTGTTGTCTCAATGTCACCGATTGCCTACAATATCAGCACAATAGATAACAAGTTGGAAAGGAATCAAGGTGCACAAGACATTTCCTCTTTACTATTTACCACTCTGCAAATTCTACTCGGTTTCTTATATTATATGGACATTTGGTTCAAGAGAATCAACACAGACCAAGTTGAGTGTCATGTGATGATTGGGAAAAGGAATGGTTTTGGATTAGAAGTTCCTTTTCCAAATTTTGTTGAACTTTGCCCTCAAGCAGCAACCTTGGTGGTAGTGCTTAGGGTTTCAAATAAGATTGGGCCCACAGTCCCAAGCTCAAGTCTCTGAGTGGATAGTCTAATAGTATAAGTCTTTGTTATCTCTTGGAGTTGGAGATGGGACATATGAAGTCTTGTTCGGTGGGCTTGTCGTAAGACTAAGTATTAGTTTGTTGGAGCGCCTTGTCGTAACTTTTCCTCCTGACAACTTTGCAAAGGTCATCTGGTTACACTGAAATTAAAATCTCCTCCTATTTGCCATCAGCTCTGACATAATTCAGAGTCTTCAGATTCTTTCCAAAACAGATTTCTATCAGGATACGATGCGGGGGTATGGTTACCTGCAATTCAGTTATGAGGCTTATTGGCTAATAAAAAAAGGAGGGTAATAGAAAATGCGCACTGGACGGTTTCTCTTACTGTTGCTTGTTTAATGAAGCAAGTAAATTTCACTAGTACTACTGCAAACTTTTTTTATGTCAGTTCTTTCCTACTAGTCCATTCTTGTATAAATGGTATTATTCTACCGTAGTCTTAAAGCCTTTGATTATGTTGCCGATAAGAGTATACATTTTAAGTATCACTTGCTTTTATTTAAGATTTACTTCTTACTTATACCTTTGGTTTATTAGATTTTGGTTGCTAACAGTTTCTGTAATTTATTTGACCAATTCAGCCTGCAATTATGCAAAAGGAAAATGGATTGTAGATGAGGAGGAGCCTTCGTATTCTGGATTTCGCTGCAAGCAATGGCTATCTGGCATGTGGGCGTGTCGTTTGACCCAACGTACAGATTTTGCCTATGAAAAGCTTAGATGGCAGCCTAACAATTGTGAAATGGAAAGGTTCAAAGGTTCTGAGTTCTTAAAAAGGTATTCTCCTTTTGAGAAACTTCCAGATTATTTCTCGTCCCATTCAGGTTGAGGTTTAACTACAGTTATCTCTGGTCTACACTAAGTAGATCCTGGTAGTTTATTTGCATTCCACGCTTGGACTTTTCAAGTCTTGATCGATAATAAGTTAGATAAAATAAGGAAAAGCGAAAGGTAATCGCAAAGGTTACGATATCGTTGAGCATATTCTATTCACTTTTGTCTATGCAGTTGCGCATTACCCTTCACTTTTTATTTCTTCTTGTGTCATGGTAATGCTGATAGTTTAAAATATACTAAAACATTTGCTATTCTGATGACTCAGGATGCAAGACAAAACCCTAGCTTTTGTTGGAGACTCTTTGGGCCGCCAGCAATTCCAGTCTCTGATGTGTATGGTCACAGGTGGTGAGGAGCAGCATTTCGAAGATGTGGGTCAAGAATACGGCTTGGCCTTGGCTCCTGGTAATACACGCCCTAATGGATGGGCATATCGATTCCCAAGCACCAATACTACAATACTCTATTACTGGTCAGCTAGCCTCTGCAATGTGGAGCCCTTGGATGAAAAAGATCAAAACACCGATTATGCCATGCATCTTGATCGACCACCTGCATTCTTACAGCAGTATATTAGTAAATTTGATGTGTTGGTTCTAAACACAGGCCACCATTGGAATCGTGGAAAGCTCAAGACTAACCGCTGGGTGATGCATGTGAACGGTAAGCCAAACATCGACAAGAAACTTGCACCGATTTGGAGTGCCAAGAATCTCACCATCTACAGTATCGTCAACTGGGTGAACTCTCAGCTTCCCAAGTATCCAGGCTTGAAAGCCTTCTATCGAACAATTTCACCAAGGCACTTTGTGGGTGGAGATTGGAATACAGGAGGAAGTTGTGACAACACAAGACCTATGTCAATAGGCAAGGAAGTAGTGCAAGAAGAATCAAGTGATGAGAGTGCTGCAGGTGCAGTGAAGGGGACGGGGGTTAAGCTTTTGGACATAACAGCCCTCTCACAGCTAAGGGATGAGGCTCATATATCTAGATACAGCATAACAGCCAAAGCCGGGGTTCAAGATTGCCTCCACTGGTGTCTACCGGGCGTTCCTGATACATGGAATGAAATTTTGTTTGCGCAAATTTAGTCACATGGTTACAGGATGCGAGCAACATCATGAGAAACTGCCAGTGCCTGGCCCGTGATTACCTACGGTAATTTAATTAATTAACCATGGAGTTCGCCTAGTTGATAGTACTGGTGGAAAGCTCGCATTTTTTACTCAGCATTTTTTACTCAGCATTTTTTACACTGTATAGACCACATGAATTCCTATGTTGCAAGTAATTATGTTTAGACATATGATAATGATCGAGAATGGATAAAAGGGTTTCAGACGGTTTCATTTCCTGCAAGGTTTTCTTGCATGTATTCTTCAACCTCTACATCCGATTCTTCTTCATCTGAACCTGAACCTACCATTGTTTGGTGAAGGGTCCCTTGTATCATTGCCACGACTTTCTCCACAGGTCCTATTGCTTGGTTTATGGTCAATACAACATCCTTAACAACCTGCTAAGACGACATTAGCTTAGAGCATATAATGCTAAACAATTTTAATAGCTTCTACTTACTCGCTGACCGCCTTCAAGAACTATGTCCTGAACGCTCTCGCCGACACTCGTTCCAGGAGCCTCGACATGGACATGGGTTTCTGTCCTTTCAACCACAGCCGGTTTTTGTTCTTTGCCTTCTTTGACCTCAGCTCGACCTTTCATTGACTCTATGGTGACTCCGTACTCAGAAACTGGAATGTAACGATATGGTTCAGCAGAGAAAACAAATATATGAGCCCCAGCTGCGATGGCCATCTGCAACGCAATAGAAAAATAAGCAACTTTCCAGTTCGTTGAAGTTTCATCAATAAGGAAGAAGGCAAAAAAGTCTACAAAATCATGAATAAGAAAGAATATTACAAAGCTCTATATGGCTTTCTTTTTTGATCGAAACCGCTTTGAATTGTGAATACATACGAAGTATGACATGTTTGAGAAGAAAATTTGGCTGGCAAACGCAAAAGGTGAAGCAGATTACTTCTATGCAAATTAAGAAATCCTGCAGTCCAGTTTCCAGTTTCCCCTCCTTCGGCAGAACTCCAAGTTCACGTAATAGAGCAATGCCAACACCTTGCCACCACGTTGCAAACACTATGGCCTTGAAGCTAATGAATTTTGCTAGTGGCTTTATTGGTTTCAGTTGCTCGTGAGTTACATTATAAAACTGGACGAGGCAGTATAATGCCCACATCTGGCTGAAGTTAAGTACCACTGCTATGTATGGATAGCTACAACAAAATTAAACACCAAAGGCATAAACATAAGTGAAACAAAAGAAACGTAATATCTCTTCATTGGTTGGGGAGAAGAACAAACCACTCTTTATAAGAGTGTGGAAACTTTTTCCTAGCAGGCGCGTTTTAAAGCCTTGAGGGTAAGCCCAAAACGGAAAGCCTAGAGAGGACAATATCTCCTAGCGGTGGGCTTGAGCTGTTACAAATGGTATCAGAGCCAGACACCAGGTGATGTGCCAACAAGGAAGTTGTTCCCCGAAGGAGAGTTGACACGAGGTGGTGTGCCAGTAGCGATGTGTCAACAAGGAGGTTGTTCCCCGAAAGAGGGTAGACACGAGTCGGTGTGCCAGTAAATATGCTAGGCACCGAAGGAGGGTGGATTTGGTGGGGATCCCACATTGGTTAGGAAGGAGAACAAAACACCTTTTATAAGGGTGGAAACCTTCCGCTAGCAAACGCGTTTTAAAGGTTTGAGGGGAAGCCCGAAAGAGGAAATCCAAAGAGGACAATATCTGCTAGCAGTAGGCTTGAGCTGTTACAACAGTGGTAGCTAGTAGTACATTGGACACTCGAACTGAAAACACTGACTCAGAACAGAAAACACTGACTCAGAACAGACTCAGAACAGAACGTGCATTTTTTACTAAATCAAAAATTATCCTTTAGAAATTGATGTAGTCATGTAGATAGCTGAGCAGTCTACACAAATAAACAATCGGCTCAAAGCAGCATAATCAAACTAGTCAATTCCCCTTCACCATTGGCCAAATATGCAAGTTTAAATATATACCCGTAGAACCACTTGAATTCCCCATCACCATAAACTCCAAAAAGCTCCAATATAAATGCTAGGAATGCAGATGTCGTCTTCAGAATCATCTAAACCACCCAAAAATATATATATATAAGAAAACTAATTCTTGAGCTCAAGCCGATAAAAGGTTCCAGATCAATGGCTTACATATTGAACAAGACCAAACTTTTCTATAGTGAGCAGATGTTCTCCAAGAACACGTGGCTTAAGGAAAAAGTTCCACAGTGTTCTTTGAGACCTCTTTTCTTCCCCTTCAATTAGAGGTTCCTCTAGCTGTTTTGTTGATTCAATTTCAAGCAGTTCAACGACTCTTCTTTCACCACCTTGCATCATTCATGAAAAATCACATGCTGTAAAGAACTCAGGATTTATTAATCAATGTATAATTTTATGGCATTATCTGTACATACAGTTAACTGCTTCAAAAATCGGATGATGCGGCATATACCGGGTGTAGTACTGTTAAGGGATGACTCACAGTTTTAATTAGCCTAGTTTGTCATGTAACTTGTATTTGATTTTAGGCTAAACAAATAAAACAACTGTGATACTCACGATCCTAACATCTCCTTAGTAAGTAGCATGTGTCGGCCAAATCCGAACTTATATCAGGTCCTACCTAGTGTCTACAATTGTCTCACCATAACCCAACCTACGGAAAAACAAACTAAACTAGTTTATGTTTGCTTCAATCAAAGATCATTGGCTTACCTGCAAAAATCTCCTTCAATGTGGTAAGGGAACCACAGATTTGTTCAACACATTCTATTGTTATGTGGGTGTCAATTGGGCTTCTGTTAAACAAGAAAAAAATCTTTTACCAGTTACTGCTACTCGTATAATATTTTCGTTTTGGGACTCTTTCTCAGTTTTCCGGCAAAGTAGTCCCCAACTATCTAATGAAACCTTGTGGAAAAATAAGGCAGTTAGATTTGAGAAAACAATGTGCTCAATTTGGCTGATGGATAATACATGAACGATGACATTTGACACATTCCATTGCTCTATCATTGAAAAAAACAAACAAGCAGGCAAGCAAAAGAACCAAGATGCAGAGTAACCTGGTAGCCTGGAGCTTACCAAGACAAGCAATCAAATAGCTTCCAAAAGAATACAAAGCAAACGCTTCGTAGCAGTTCCTTAAGATGTCACATTCAAGGGAAAATCTTTGATTCCATAATGATATAATCTGAAAAGCACGTAGCCAACGGTTAAGTGTTGCTGTAGAGGAATAATTTATAGCATACGCGGCCACAAGGCTAACAAATAAATACATTAGATGAATGGATTGGAGGAATTATGACTCACCGACTCGGTGGCATAAACAGGAACCATAAAAAGAACCGCAACAATCCATTTTTGTTCCTGTTGTTGGTGACAACAGAAAACTGACAACAGAAAACTGAATTGAGATTGAGAGGAGGAGTAATTTGAATGATGGGGAGGGAGGTCCTTTTATAGGGGATTCCAGAGTTGGTTGAGATTTTCTAGGGTGATTCCGTAGTCGGTTGAGAGATTTTTGTGGATGAATTTGAATTTGAAACCAATTCAAATTCTATTCTATTTGAATTTGAAACCAATTCAAATTCTATTCTATTATTAGCTATTATTAGTTTCAACACCCTCCCTTAAACTGAATTCTGCCTAAATCAGTTTAGGACTTCATTTCATCTTCTTGATATACATCTTGGATTCTGCATATCCCCATCTTTCTTCTGAGCTTCTCGAACAATGGTTGTTTCAAGGGCTTTGTGAATAGGTCTGCGATTTGTTCATCACTTCGGCAAAAGTTGAGTTCAATAATGCCTTCTTTACACAAATCACGCAAGAAATGAAAT